CGGAATACATGAGACGGAAAAACGAACAAGAGAGAGAAAGACTCGCGCTCCTTTTCTCAATCTCTGCAATTAACTCTCGCGCCCCTTTGCTTTGCTTTGCATCGCCGCACGAACGGCAATTATAAATTCCCTGCCCGATAATCCGCGCTGTAATTAGACTAATTAATACTTGGCCGTCTTAAATCAATTATTGTTATTACCCGAAATCATGCACGACCCGGCGAGACCTCGAGCGCGGCCAACTTTGCCTTTTGTTCTCACAATAAAACCAGTCGACGCAGTGCCAACCGATGACGATTGTATTTTTCAAAATATGTAAACATAATAATTTAAATTGGTTGAGTTGCGATTTTCTTGAAATTTACAATAAAGCTGTATCTTTTCTTAGAGAAATGAATTCAAAAACTTTTTGTTAAATAGTTCATGAAACGGGTTTTAAGATTTTTTTAATTTCTTTAATGAAAAATTAAGCAAATATTCTCTATTTTAATTAACATATTGCGTCATGTTTTTTTTTTATTAGACCAGTTAGAATAAAATATGATTTGAAAATTTTAATCATGAATGATTGTGAAGACAATTTTTTATGGTTTATATCTTTCATTACTTGTTAATTTTCGTTCTTAATAAAGACCAGATTAATTTCCATATGTCCTCTTTTAATCAATTTTGATAACAATTATTTCAATGAATATCAACTAAAATCTAAATTATTATGAAATTTTTATATTTTAAGCAAAAAATTTAATGCAAATGTTATAAAAAATTCAATATTTTTTCTATTTTTTATTATTTGACCAATTGTTACAACACAATAATATAAAAATTCTGCAAACAATTTGTTTGGGAAAAAGGTAAGATTTGTGGTAAAAAACGTCACCACCACATGACCACAATTTTGCTAAAACGTCCGTGTGATCATAAAGACCCAATTTGCCGAAGTGAACCTTATTTGTTTTTGCATGCGAACTTTAAATTTTAATTAGAAGTTTTATCTCAATTAAAACTCCAAAAACTGCGGCAGCTGGATCTTTTACCAGATAAAATTTAAAATTCACAAACAATGCATAATTTATTTTAAATCCTACGAGTTCAGTTAGGCAAAAAATTGCATATTTTTCCAGTTAAAAATTTGAAATAGAAGAAAAACTTCAGCCTTATTCAATCGCAGAAAAACCAATGTCTTTTTTCGCAACAATGGAATTTTAAGAAGCAGAACCCCCTCCATATTTGTAGTGTTCTTTTAATTGAAACAATCATTTTGAAAGGTCCTGGTTTGCGAGGACAGGTGTGTCCCCTGCTAATCAAATTCATCACACGGCGGAGGCTTGGCCGTTGACGCTGTGAGCCGAACTGCTGTGAGACGAAAGACTAAACAATTAACGCCGGCGTTCCGCGTGTCTCTCGGCGGCCAGAGATGAAGACGTCAGTGTTGGCTGAGTGAGTGAGTGGAATTTGCATTTCGCCACGAGATTGAGAGAGATGTGAAGCTGCTTTTTGCCGTGCAGAAATAACAACAAATATATATAATATAATGAATGCCTCTCGCGACCTTGATTGCCGCCGCCGCCGCTCATAATGGGCGCGAGTGTGAAATAAAAACCAAAAGCCGCGGAACAATAAAAGCCAAGAGAAAATAAATAGACGCGCGGTTATAGAAAAGATGTAGCGTATAATGGAGGAAAAAAAAGAAGGAGTGCGCTAGCTGCGCCAGGTATTTAATTATTCACGAATTTCCATTGTGCTGAATAAATAAAGGAGGCTGCAGACGGTTCCTACTGTTTTCGTTCCGAAAGCTTTCATTAATGGTCGCTTAATGGTTTCTTGCCGTGTCATTTCGGACGCTTTGTCGGGAGCTGCGCACCTCGTACGTACACACTTATTGTCCACACAAAAGAATCCAGCAAAAGCCTTGTATCGATTTTAGATATGGAAATTTAATAATTATTCTGTGAATTGGACTTTTCATTATAAATAAATAATTGCATTAATACAATTAGGTCATTTAGAAATAATTATATATTAGCAAGTTTTTAAAATTTTATAAAAAAATTTATTATAAGTTTTGGAATATTTTTTATTAAACTTTTATTAGTTTTTTATATTATTGTTGTTTATTTATCCAAATTGTTACATCTCATTGTTTACGTTTAATTGTTTTTTCCTAAATTCATATTTATGGACAAAAAAATTTGAAATTGAATATCAGTGTCTCAATTAAAAAAATAATTAAATTACTATTTGTATAAAAGATTTCCATGAATATTGTTTTTACTAGAAATACTTCCAATTAAAAAAAAATTATTGAAAATAAACAAACAATAAAGAGGATCCAATTGACTGTTAAACTGTCAATAAAGAACAAGAAAGTATGATTTCTTCTTCTTTAAGGACTCCTTATTGCAATGCTAAGAGTACCAAGGAGGTTTTTTTTGATCGCACATATGCCCAATGTTATTTTTTTGCCCCATGAACCCTCAAATTTTTTTCTGCTAATCTGTTTAGGGTCATTCGCTTATCATTTTGTGAAATTTTGAGCAAAAAATTTCGGGCAGTTTTTTTTTAATCACCAAAAACAAAAATTTCCATAACACGCAATGTAAAAATTCAAAAAATCATATTTCAAGAATAATCGGCGCTACCCCCCATTTTTCTTTGTGCAATCAACTCTACTGATAGGTAGGAATCTATAAAAAAATCTGGGTCCAAAAATTTCGGGCCGATTTGCCGCAAATAGGAGTTGTAGATGTCAATAAGCAGGCCTTAAATGGGAGAAATATAAGTTTCAATTTTCCGCTACTGGCCTTTGAAGTATCATTTCTTTACAGTCATTAGGGCATGTTCCTCTGATTTTGATTGAGACCGATCGAATTATCGCTTCCGAGAAGAAACAAAAGCAAGGAAAATCGATGCGGAGACAATTAGGTAAATGGACAGCGTGTGTCCCGCTTCGGGTAGGAAAAGTTCAATTAACGCGAAGGAGCGGCGCTTCCTGGAAACAGAGAATGATTGTTGATCAAGTTTTTTATTGTCCATTCTTTAGCGATGACGCTATTGAAAAAAAATTGTAATGAAACTGAAAAATTAAACATGAGCGAAAATGAACCAGAGAGAATTTTAGGGGAAAACCCAAGATTGCAGTTGATTTATATAAAAAAGTTAAAATAATATTAAATTCATTAACTGCTCAAAATTCTTGAACCCTGCTGAAGTGACTAAAATCTAATAAAATTCTAAATTAATATGAATAAAAAAATTACTTCAAGTAATGTTTTGAATTGTAAGAAATTGACCGCAGTTGAAAACCGGTTCAAATTTTTTAAACAAAAACTTAAAGCATGTCAAAATTTATGGATCTTTTAATTAAATATTTTTTACTATTAAAAATGTGTTTTTAAATGAAATTCTGAATTTTAAAGATGCAATAATGGTGTTCGCTCATCAAGTCATCACCTCTCCCACCGAAGGATCAATTCGCAGCAATTCTGATGCAGCAACGCCTCGAGTGTTGGAAGATGCAAAAAACCTCATTACAGCGGCGGCTCGGTGAATATCATGCAGATTGTTCGAATTTCCATTCCTCTCGTCTCGAAGACAATCGTCTTTGGAGTGCAAAGTATTTTGCGATAAAGTGGAATAATTTTCGCTCGCTCGGAAATAAATAAATGATTGCTTTGTGCGATGATGTTTCATTTTTCAGGCATTATCCAGCTGCCGGCAAGCGTGCAGCATTCGAAGTCTCTTTTGTTTGAGCTAATAATAGCCAGGGCCGCTCGGCGGAGTAACCAAAAAACTGCAAGCCAAAATAATAGTAATAATAATAAGAAAAGGAGATTGCTCTGTTCATCTCTCGTCCTAACTCATGATGAGAATGGGGAGGAATCAAGTGAGATGGAAAAAGAGAAGAGAACGCTTCAAGGAACATTATTTTTGTGCTAGTTATCTCCCTTGCGCCGAAATTGTTTACCGAAAAATAAAACGCACAGCAAAGCACGCGGCCCCGGAGCAGTTTTATTATTTCGCTTTCTTTCTCTCTCGCAGCATCATTTTATTTTTATAAATGCTATTATTTGTCTTTCGCTGCATGCAAAGCTGGCTGGCCGAGCAGCTGCGAAAAAGAGAGGAAATCTGATGCTTTTTTCCGAGCGGGCCCCGATTGTTAATTCCGAAGGAAAATCCGCGCCGCCGGCTTAATTGATTTTTATCACCCTTCTCCCAATAATTTTTGTCAACCAAGAAAAGAGCCAGCCAGGGTCGGCGATGTTTGTATAGCTTATTAAAAAGCGAGCGAGGACGGAGGGAGGCCTGCGTGCAATAATAAGAAGTGCGCAGTAGCTGAGGAAATTAATGAGCTCTTCACAAAATCCGTCGTTATCTCTCACAATCAGGCTTGAAAAATTTCCCCCCTGGTGTTGATTTATTTCTTAATTTTAAAAATCTGATGAAAATTTATTTTTGTGTAATTTGAAAAGGCTTATATTTGCTCCAAAATTCATTTTTTCCAAAAAAAGCAGTTTCTTAACTTTTTCAGAATTTTTATTTTCAAAATTGTAAAAAGTTTAAAAAAATTCAAGCAAACTGCTTGATTATATTTAAAACTAAAAATGAGAAACAATTGCAATAAATTTTAGAGCAAACGATGGGCTCGCCAAACTTTTACGAAAAGACTTTTTTTACTTCCTAAAGATTAAAAAAAACTAATTTTTCTACTTTAAAATGTCCAAATTTCAGACTTTTTATAAATTTTTCTCAATATTTTTTATTTCATTTTAATATTTCCTTACTTACTAAATGGTTATTTTGTAAGGAATGAAACAAGTTTTCTTTTTTTTTACGTTTGTAATTGTATTTTATGCCATTTTGTTCAATCTACAACATTAACTATACAAAAAGTTGGCCTGTTTTACAGATCCAAACGATCATACTATAAGATGTATGTGTGTGTGTCCGTGTTGCGTAAATGTGTCCGAGTGTTCACATCGTAATTTTGTGTGTGTCTCTTTTAAATTCAATTCTTTTTTAAATTTTATTCCTTGCATGCGTGTGTCGTTTGTGTGTGTGTGTGTAATGTGTGTAGTACAGTAATGACGAATGAATCAATCAATCAATTCAATCAATCAACCAACCAATCAATCAGTTACATAATTATTATTTAAAATGTACAATACATAAGCGAAAACAATCGTGTGGCGCGGATGGACAGAAAAATCATTTCAAATATATATAAATTCATATTTTTTTTTATTATATAATATAATAATAATAATCGCGTGTGATGAGATAAAAATTCACAATTTCATTTCCATTTACGGCGTGGATGTGTGTTTTTCTCATTTTAGTCACAACAAAAATTCAAAAACAATAAATCGCCCACAAAAATGGCAATCAACTAATAATCAATCAATGCGATAACAAACACATTTTGTGTATTGCGAGAGAACCTAACATGATTTACACTCACAGAATAATAAAGTTTATTTCTTCTCTAGATTCGGGCAGAACAACAAAAGGTCAGAACCGAGAGTGAGCACATTGTGTGTTTGTGTGTATGTGTGTGTCTGGTAGTCGATTTTTGCATTGGATTTTCTGTTATCATCTTCGTCGTCACTAATACTCATCTCATCGCATTTTAAAAATTATTATTTCTATTAATATACTTCTTATTTATCGATTATTCAATGAATTAGGAACTTTTTTGAGTGCTGAGGTAGACATTTTTTGCGTTTATTTTATACCTTTAAACTCCTTAAAAATAACACAGTGTGCGCTCGGCACGCGCGGCCAAGGCGGCCGCCGTGGCGCCCGCACGCTGCTTTATTTAATTGTTTTTTTTTTCATCTTTGTCATCTCATTTTTTTGCGTCTTGATTTCAGCACTATCACTGAGCTGCCTTTTTGAATGACAGACTAATAATAAAAAAATTATCTCCTCCATCTTTCCGAAGTCGACCCCCCCGAAGAGAACATCTTTCAATTCACAAACCCACACAGAAAACGCCATTTAATTTGCATAATTCAAATCCAACTCTTATCTCAATAGAATAATTCAAAAATTTATTTTTCGCTTAACCAATAATAGCAAAAACACAAAAAATCACTTTTGCAGCGTTGACAAATCAGCTTCAATAATGCGAGTGTTTCGTTACTAATTTCATTTTATAATATATTATTGTTCAGCAGACAAAAATACAGAGAGGCCCCCCACTTTGGAATAAAATTAAAGTAATTGTCAGCTTGTGTGTCGCGTGTGTGTTGTTTTTTGCTTTGAGACAAACAGGAGAATCATACATATAATGATAATAATAATTTAAGTTGCAATTAATTAATTAAAACATTGTACACAGTTACAAAAGAGAGATTGTTCCTAAACATTACTTTCAGCGAAAAGAGAATTCTTGAATTTCTTCTGCTTTCAGTCTATTTTTATTACATATTATATGTTCAATTTACACGCACGTAATTTAAAGATTGGTTTGTTTTGTCCGTTTTTTTCCGTGTAACTTAAATAACCTTTCTTTGAGGGGCTGCACGTCGGAGAAGGAAATAGTTTACTCTCTCTATTTACATCACGTAAAAATCGAAACTCTGAATCGATCGCGAGTGATTTGAACGGTGGGCTTGGCGAAATTGGCTCGGAACAAAAACACGTCGCTGCTACGAATAAATCATCTAAAATAAAAATAAAACAACTCCTTCAATTGAGATTCTTCGGTGAAAAGGTCAATAGAGAAAAATAATGTCAAGTTAGTAGCAGCGTGAAAAAAGGGTTATTTTGTTTGAGAAGAAAAGCATTATTTAGAGAGAGCTAGGAATTCCTTGCACCAGAAACATGCAGCCGCGGAAAGTTTCGTGTATATCACAAGAAAATGGAACTGAGGCGGCACAATTGTGTTGGCGGAACTGCAATTTAATTCATTTTGTAAAGAGTTAGTAGGAACAGCGATTTCAATACCGAATAGTTTTTTTTTTGTAGTAAATTTCAATCATGCCTGCATCTTTCTGCGAATCATCATAATTTTTGTTTGTTTGCATATCAGAGGTAGAATTTATGTAACGATCGCGGTGACGAGGAGTCACATCACGTTAATACAGTAATAGGCAGTGTGTCAGTGTGTGTTGTTGTTGTGTGTTTGAGTTAGCATCGTATCTTCGAATGAAAAAATAACTATTTCGCGCTTATTGTTGTTTCGTTAGGAACCATTTCAATCAGCAGCAACACGCAGACATTGATTTTTGTTTAAGCAGAGAGTTAATTCCGTTTTGAAGCCGAATGTGGGGCACTTGTTGAATCCAGGAACAATCCAAAGGAATTTCATTTAAAATTATCAATCCCCATGTGTAAAAGTAGTTTTCCGGAATATTATAAGAAAAAAATGCAGATTAAGAACAAAGACAAAAGAGATAGCAGCGGAGGACTTGATTCTTTCTTTCTTTCCCGTCTTGAATTTTACACCAACAGCACACTTAACTAATGATAATAGTACAATTACTTCTTTTGCCGTCTCTCGTTTTTTTTTTAAATATTATATAGAAAAAAGCTGTGTGTCGTCACCGTGTCTCTCTCTCAAGTATTTATTACGAGGAACGTTACTTAAAGTTATATGATCTATCATAGGAACCTTAGGTTTGCTGGGCGGGAGAGGTCGGACCCTTGCGAAGGTTCTCCGGGCCCGGCCGCCCCCTCGATTGCGAGCGTGTGTGTCATGTCAGTGTTTTACTTTTACTTCTTTTTTTTCTCAAAATTTAAGTAGAGCTTTTGAAAGTTTCGGGCGCCCGGGTCACCCCAGCTGCGGCCCCGGGGCCCTCAGAGCCCGCGGCGATTATTAGGACACCGCCTGCGCGAACAATTTCAAACAGATGTCACTGAGTTAAACACCCATTCAATATAATTTAATTTTAATCTTACCGCTAGAATTATATACGAGAGTGTGGTTTTTTGTGTGTCTGTGTGTCCATGTGAATTATCCGCTAGTATAATAATTTTAATTAATTTTAATCATAGATAAGTATTTTTTCTCATCGTCAAACATTTTTCAATATTTCCCCCCACTGCGGCGAGTGGGGTGGTGCGAGGGTTGCGAGCATTCACATAAAAAAGATCAGACATTTATCAAAAAACCGAAGAAGGTTTGCGAATTTTTTGTTTCCAAGTTTTTCCGTACACATTTTTTATGTTTGTTTGTTTCATACTTTCCGCCCGGCGTGTGTTGATTTTTTGTTTAAATTCAAGTATTTATGCGTGTACAAACTTTTTCACTTGATGCGTAGGAACGAAAAACCTTCTTGCCATAAAAATATCAACATTTGCTTCATCAGTGTGAGTTACAGCGAGTATGTAAATAACTCTCTCGAATTTCTCATATCTTTTTTTACTCAAATGCTCAAGAATCTTTTTTATGCTTGCGCAAAAATTAGTTAACATTGATGATATTCGCTTGTGTGTGTGTTTACGAGGATTGTGTGTTAGTCGAGTGTCGAACATCTGAAAAAGCACAGAAACACATAGAACTTTTCCTATACGTAATAGTGTGTGAGTGAGGAGAGTTAGCGTTAGTTTTTGTTTAAGGATAGTAGTAGACTTCCACGTTAAGTAGTAGTGAGAGTGTGTGTTATTCTTACTTTCTTTCTTTTTGTGAGATTATTACTTCCTTTTCATCTCGAATTCGTAGCCGAAGGAACATTATTAATTTTTTCCACGTTTTTTGCGGTAGGCAGGCTAAAACGCTAAGGACCATTTTGTTTGCAATTTCTTTTATTACTTTCGCAGCGAGGTGAGAGTGAACAGCCAAGTTCCTTGATCCTTCTTCTCTAAAGTATAATCAAAATTCAGAGTTTTCTTTTCTCCTCCTAACCGAGTAGTGTGTGTGTGTATGTATAATATAATATATGCATGTATATGGCCGAGAATTTTATATGTACACAGAGAAACAACGAAAAATACAATCAGGGACTGCGTTCGTCCGAGTCAATCAATTTTTCCGAGGCGGCGCCAAGTGGCCTGGGCAGTGCGTCGTTCTGCCGGCGGCCACTTGGCGGCGCCTCTGTCGGTCACAATCGTGAGCTGCGCACAAATTTAATTCTTATTACTTGCTATACGTAGTAGTAGTTTAAAACGCTGAGGAACTTTTTCAATAAAGCACGTCGTCGTCGCGGTCGGGTTGTTGTTGTTGAGTTTGTCCTTGGCTCTCAGCCGGAGACGGGCCCGGCCTCGATGGGGGCCGGGGCCGTCGAGGCCTGCGCCGCCAGGGCCGTGATCTGGTTCACCACGTCCTCCATCTCGTGCGTCAACTCGGCGCTGGGCTGCTGCGTGGTGGCGGCCGCGTGCTGCGCAGACGCGCAGTGCTCGAGCAGCTGCGCATGCGTGGCCACGCGGTCTGCGCAGGCGCGACACTCGAAGCCCAGCTGGACGAGCCGCACGTGGCCCCGCAGCTCGAAGGAGCCGGCGAAGCAGGCGGCCCGCTGGTGGCCGTTGACGGCCGCCTCGGTCGGGAAGGCCAGCTGGCACTTCTTGCAGATGAAGGCCGCCTCCTTCTCCAGGTGGCGGCAGTGCGGCGGCAGGGCTGCCACCACGACCTCAGCGTCCGTGCTGAAACGCACGATGCTGTGGCCAGGGGCCGCGCACGCCTCGCCGATGTCGCCCACAGTCTTGGCCGGCAGTTTGAACATGCTCAGGCTGGTGCCCTGGGGACCCCCTGGTGGACTAGTGGGCCCCGACTGCGGCTCCTGCTGCTGCTGCTGAGTGACGGCTGAAACAAAGGAAAACACCAATTTTAAATTTAAAAAGTGACTTTCAGAAATTTTGCAAAATTTTCATGCAAGAATCTTATGAAAAAATAATGAAATGTGAAAATAGTCACAAATATGCAAATAGGAAGTTGAGAAACAGTTTCCCTCAAGATCAATGTAAATTTTAATATCGAACTTCTGATGGTTGTTATAACAGCCATTTCATTGTGGTGAAATGAACTTTATGTGGTGAAATTTTTATTTATTTTCTTCAGGCCAGTTTTAAGGAAAAAATTAGTGATTAAAATTCCCAATAGTTAATTCAATTTTTCTTATGCTTTCTACTTGGAATTCTGGCTTGGCTCTTGTACAATTAGATCCCCAGACTGTCCACCGCTTTTTAAAACGAGGCTAATTGCGGTAGGCGTGAATTAATTCTGCCTCTCGTTATAATATTTCTCCTGCACGTCCTGCGAGCACAATATCCGCCGCTGATTGTGATTTATTTCTTTCACTCGATACGCAGCCTCTTCTCTCACATATACTGACGCACGATCGCCGCATCTCGCCCGCCGCTCAATTGCTTTTATTAAATATGATTGCGAGTCGCTGGAACGAACGCACCAGCAGGCAAATATTATGCCGCGCATAATGAAGGGCAGTCGTTGATTATTAAAATTAATTTCTCTTTTTTTCAGTCCCCTCCTCCCTCTCGATTATTATTGTAATAATAATAACGTTAAACACACACACACGCGGTCTCTTCATTCTCTCGGCTCTAACTATGTTACGCAAAGCCGTAGGCAGGAAGCCGTCGATTACGTTCGAAAAGCTTAATTGAACTTGTAATTAGCGTTAATTGACGACGCGCTACGACACATCCTTAAGCGGCCCGGGTCCGATGTCTGCCTAAATAATCGCGCGGAAAAAAATTCGTAACGACAACAAGGAGAGAATTATTTTATCCCTGCGATAAAAGGGCAAGGATTGATTGAATTAAATAATTTCTTTCGTTCTTTTGTGAGAAAAAAGGCGGGTTATTTCTTTTTGACAAAAGCTGGCGCAACTGCTGTAAAATCGGAGCCAAGAAAGAAAGAATAGGAACAAAAGCAGCTCTTGGGTCGCTTTCTTTCGCAACTCTCCGCTCTATTGATTTTGGCCGGCCAATAATGAGAGCACGTTGATTAATACATATTATATCCATGCAGCTTATTCCTTCCATTGTGCGCTCCAAATCCCTTTTCTTTCTTCGTGTGTGTGTGTATTTTTTCATTATTGGATTTGCGGACGGACAGTGCGAGAGAGAGTCGTAATGATCGCGGGCCGGGAGAGCATAACGTCATAATTCAATTATTCAGCACAAAAGCGAGGAGCCTCTTTTTCTCCTTCTTTTATTTCTCCTCGAAGAGAGGCGAGAATAAAGAAAGAAATCGCATTCCTGCATCGCCCGTAGGTGGTCCGCATGCGTGGGTGCGCCCTTAATTACCGAACGGCCTGCATAATTTTCCAAAGACACCCATCATGCGCCGCGTGCTAATATCGGCAGCTCTGCCCGCGATCAGCTGACTCGCCCAACGCGAATAAATTAATAAATGCAGCACAGATCGAAGGATGGAATGAATTAATCAATCGAGCTGAAGCAAAGTAAGGGGGCAATTTTGATAAATAATTTTAACAATTTTAGAAGGGCAAATTTCCTTTGAATGCTTTGAATGATACAAAAAATAATAATAATGCAGCAGAGATTGAAGGATTAAATTAATCAAAAATACGAGTTTCAGTAAAAAAAGGTACAATTTTGATTAGACTTTTTCAGTAATATTTTCTTTGAAAACTTTGAAGGACTGATTTAGCTCGAGGGCCATCAAAATATTTTTCTTTTCTCATTTCGAGCCTTTTTCTAATTTGAATAAAAATCAAATTAATTTCCGCCTCTGACTTTTCCAGCAGCTTCTTAACTCTCTCTGTCGGAACAAGAGTGAAACCAAATCTGCAGCAAAAGAAAACATAACTCCGCTCAGGGGTGGTTTCTTTTTCCTTTATGCCTTGGCGACGCAGCCACATTTCATTCAAAATAATAAAGGGACCAACTTTCTCCTGCCAGAGAGCTCAACCGAAATTCTAATTAAAATTTCTCCTGCCAGGCCGTGCAAGCAAGGGTGCTTGCTTTTTATTATTACATCCAAATTATTATCGCGCCGGCAGAGGACGGATGGATGGGTGAGTTGGAAGCAGGCGCGCCACTCCCCACGGAAATTTTTTATACCCCTATGGCAATTTTTTACTCATGAGGGTGCAAAACAAAAAAAAAATCATCCGACTTACTTGGGGTGGAGGCGAAATTTTTAAGAAGGGAAAAGTTTTCGGATGCAAAATGTACAAGGGGTGCGAGCGAGTGAGCCGAGCTAGCGAGCGCCGCTGGATGAAAGATCAATAAAAATAAGACATTACTGCCGTCTGCTGCTCTCCTCCACGCGTCTGCAGCCCAGCAGCCAGCAGCTCTGCATGGACCCGTCGCCGCGGCCATGAATATATCAAATATTATGCATGAAAATCACTCCTAAGAGACGAAATTGCCAGCGGCAAATTAATTTCTCAATTAAAAAAACCAGAGAGAAATTAATATTTTATGAAGATTTATCAAGATTCCAGCAGTTTTTTCCGCTTTTCGTCTCGCTTGGATTTCTTTTTTTTTTTAATCCCCTAACACCCTTTTAGCGGCTTAATTGGTGTCAATCTGTTAAAACCTCCGCCACCAATTAAAAGGAAAAAGAGGCGACGCCGGAAAAGCTTCAGCCGCTTTTGCTCCTCTCTTGAAATTTCATTCATGGTCTTTTAATTGAGCGTCGACTCATTAATGAAAAGAACAGCAGCTTGTAATGAACAGGCGGCAATGAATGGAAAAGGCGGGCGGAAAAGCGAGAGAAAGAAAGAGAGCGGTTTGCATGCAGATGAGAGGGGAGCCGCAAAAGGGTTGGCTTCTCTTAACGAGGGGCGCGAAGAGAAAGAAAGAAGAGAGAAATTGGTGTTGTAATTGTAATTAACACCGCCGCGAGAATGAAAGGGATGATGAAAAAATCTCCGTGTTGATTCAACAAAAGGCTAAGGGGAGAGATTTATATTTTTACCTCTCGAGGAAAAAATTTCGCTTTTTCGCGGAGATGGGAAAATAATTAAATTTTTATTTAGGCTCCAAGAACGTATACAATTATACAAACTGCCATCTCATAAGCTTTGTAATGAATTCAATCGAGAAACTCATTTATTCGGAATTATAGTGCAGAAGAGAGCGCGCGTTTTTTTCCCTTCGCATTCTTTTTATCTTTTAATAAGATTGCAAATTTAAATTGAAGACGAGCAGGGCGCACGAGGGGCGGGGGAGGGATGATTCTATTCAGATGAGAAATGAGCGAGGCGGACTAACGATTTTTTTTTCTTCCTCCTCCGACGCTAATGAGACCATTTTGCATAGGCTCTTTGCTCTTTTGGGTGTGCAGAAGAAAAAGAAGTTTGTTTGAAAATCGATCCGGCGTCGAATGAATCACCCCCGGATTTTAATAAGATCATCGGGGGCGATCGGCAGCAGCAGTGTCCGTTCTGACTAACTAAAAATATCATATCGGGGCGGAATTTATTATTATTATTATTGCATTAGCCAAGGAGTTTTTTAGCTGGGCAAGTTTGAAGTATTAGCTGTGACGCCGCTCCCCCCTCTCAGTGTTGTTGTATTATTGTGTGTACACAGTAATGTGTATATCCATGATGGCAGCACCACTACTTTTTCTCATCTATTTTTTGCCCTCTCTCCCTGCTTAATATCAAACCTGCGACTATGTGTGTAGTTTTTTATGTGCGCTCCCTTATGCATAATATCCATCTCGAGTAAAACGTTTTTTTTTCCGTACCCCCCAAGAATATTAGACGCTTTAAAAGTAGACAGAGAAAGAGGGATGATAATGATTATTATTGTATCAATAGGGGTTGCTCGCTGCAGCGGCTGGAATAAATTACGGAGACGGGCGCGTTATGACCTATTGGGGAATTAGTGCGAGAGGAATATGTATGAGAATCTGACTCGAAAAAAGTCGTTATTTGTTCACACGGCGCGCCGCAAAGGAACAAAACGAATGAGAGAAACTCGATCGAAAAATGCAACGATTCAAAATTGGTGATTTTCTAAACGAACTATTGTCGGCAGAAAATGCATTGTGATGTTAAGTATTTACTATTAAAATTACAAAAGTTGAAAATTTAAAAAAATTATTATTATGAGATGTTAGAAAAGTTCAAAATAAATTTGCTACTTCTTTCATTTAATGGTTTTTTTTTTACAAAATTTTAAAGGAATGTCAGATTTTAATATAATTTTTAATCTCAAAATCAGCCAGATTTATCTTTTGGAATTGCCAATTTTTTTTGTCTCGTGCCGAGCACGGGAATTTATTTCCTGCTGCATAATTTTGTATGCATTTTTTTATTTTTATTTTGATGCAAATGCAGGCGTGTGTCATCCTTTTCTGCCCGTGCGAGGGTCCAACTCTCCGAAATTATGCAAAATTGCACGCGCGTTCCGCGGGCAAAACGCGCGTGTGCATTGTGATGCACGCAGCGCACGCGGCTCCTGCATAATATGCAAATGTCTCACTTTCCGATCTTTCTCTCGCACACACCTAGGTGCATCTATCTGAATAATCAGCCTAGAGAGGGTGCATACCAATTGCACGCATGCCGAGCGCGCGTGAATAAAAATTTGAATCGGAATTTGAATGATAAAAAATATAAAAAAAGAGAGACGCATGCCCCATTGAGATGCTAAAATTCAGATTTAGCACGAGCTGCATATTTTATGACTGGATGGGGTGGCGGAAAAATGCAAATTTTATCAGGGGATGCACACCCAGGTAGAAACGAAAGAGTTGAACATTTAAAAAATAAAAATGGACGCGTGTCCTTAGGAAAAGCGACAAAAATAAAACGAATTTGGACCAAGGTCAAAAATATAAAAATGGTTTGCAAATTC